CACCGGTCGAAAAAGGGCACCGGTCGAAAAGCGCACCCGTCGAAAAGCGCACCGGTCGAAAAGCGCACCGGTCGAAAAGCGCACCGGTCGAAAAGCGCACCGGTCGAAAAGCTCACCGGTCGAAAAGGGCACCGGTTGAAAAGGGCACCGGTCGAAAAGGGCACCCGTCGAAAAGCTCACCGGTCGAAAAGGGCACCGGTCGTAAAGGGCACCGGTCGAAAAAGGGCACCGGTCGAAAAAGGGCACCGGTCGAAAAGCGCACCCGTCGAAAAGCTCACCGGTCGAAAAGGGCACCGGTCGAAAAGCGCACTGGTCGAAAAGCACACCGGTCGTAAAGGGCACCGGTTCAAAAGGGCACCGGTCGAAAACCGCACCGGTCGAAAAGCGCACCGGTCGAAAAGGGCACCGGTCGAAATGGGCACCGGTCGAAAAGCGCACCGGTTGAAAAGGGCACCGGTCGAAAAGCGCACCGGTCGAAAAGAGCACCGGTCGAAAAGCGCACCGTTCGAAAAGCGCACCCGTCGAAAAGCGCACCGGTCGAAATGCGCACCGGTCGAAAAGGGCACCGGTCGAAAAGGGCACCGGTCGAAAAGCGCACCGGTCGAAAAGCGCACCGGTCGAAATGCGCACCGGTCGAAAAGGGCGCCGGTCGAAAAGCGCACCGGTCGAAAAGGGCACCGGTCGAAAAGCGCACCGGTCGAAAAGGGCACAGGTCGAAAAGCGCACCGGTCGAAATGCGCACCGGTCGAAAAGGGCACCGGTCGAAAAGCGCACCGGTCGAAAAGCGCACCGGTCGAAAAGGGCACCGGTTGAAAAAGGGCACCGGTCGAAAAGCGCACCCGTCGAAAAGCGCACCGGTCGAAAAGCGCACCGGTCGAAAAGGGCACCGGTCGAAAAACGGCACCGGTCGAAAAGCGCACCCGTCGAAAAGCGCACCGGTCGAAAAGCGCACCGGTCGAAAAGCGCACCGGTCGAAAAGCTCACCGGTCGAAAAGGGCACCGGTGGAAAAGGGCACCGGTCGAAAAGGGCACCCGTCGAAAGCTCACCGGTCGAAAAGGGCACCGGTCGAAAAGGGCACAGGTCGAAAAAGGGCACCGGTCGAAAAAGGGCACCGGTCGAAAAGCGCACCCGTCGAAAAGCTCACCGGTCGAAAAGGGCACCGGTCGAAAAGCGCACTGGTCGAAAAGCGCACCGGTCGAAAAGGGCACCGGTTCAAAAGGGCACCGGTCGAAAACCGCACCGGTCGAAAAGCGCACCGGTCGAAAAGGGCACCGGTCGAAATGGGCACCGGTCGAAAAGCGCACCGGTCGAAATGCGCACCGGTTGAAAAGGGCACCTGTCGAAAAGCGCACCGGTCGAAAAGAGCACCGGTCGAAAAGCGCACCGGTCGAAAAGCGCACCCGTCGAAAAGCGCACCGGTCGAAATGCGCACCGGTCGAAAAGGGCACCGGTCGAAAAGGGCACCGGTCGAAAAGCGCACCGGTCGAAAAGCGCACCGGTCGAAATGCGCACCGGTCGAAAAGGGCGCCGGTCGAAAAGCGCACCGGTCGAAAAGGGCACCGCTCGAAAAGCGCACCGGTCGAAAAGGGCACCGGTCGAAAAGCGCACCGGTCGAAATGCGCACCGGTCGAAAAGGGCACCGGTCGAAAAGCGCACCGGTCGAAAAGCGCACCGGTCGAAAAGGGCACCGGTCGAAAAGCGCACCAGTCGAAAAGGGCACCGGTCGAAATGGGCACCGGTCGAAAAGCGCACCGGTTGAAAAGGGCACCGGTCGAAAAGCGCACCGGTCGAAAAGCGCACCGGTCGAAAAGAGCACCGGTCGAAAAGCGCACCGGTCGAAAAGCGCACCCGTCGAGAAGCGCACCGGTCGAAATGCGCACCGGTCGAAAAGGGCACCGGTCGAAAAGGGCACCGGTCGAAAAGCGCACCGGTCGAAAAGCGCACCGGTCGAAATGCGCACCGGTCGAAAAGGGCACCGGTCGAAAAGCGCACCCGTCGAAAAGCGCACCCGTCGAAAAGCGCACCGGTCGAAAAGCGCACCGGTCGAAAAGCGCACCTGTTGAAAAGCTCACCGATCGAAAAGAGCACCGGTCGAAAAGCGCACCGGTCGAAAAGCGCACCGGTCGAAAAGAGCCCCGGTCCAAAAGCGCACCGGCCAAAAAGCGCACCGGTCGAAAAGGGCACCGGTCGAAAAGCGCACCGGTCGAAAAGCGCACGGGTCGAAAAGCGCACCGGTCGAAAAGCGCACCGGTCGAAAGGAGCACCGGCCGAAAAGGGCACCGGTCGAAAAGCGCACCGGTCGAATAGAGCACCGGTCGAAAAGCGCACCGGTCGAAAAGCGCACCGGTCGAAAAGCGCACCGGTCGAAAAGGGCACCGGTCGAAAAGCGCACCGGTCGAAAAGCGCACCGGTCGAAAAGCGCACCGGTCGAAATGCGCACCGGTCGAAAAGGGCACCGGTCGAAAAGCGCACCGGTCGAAAAGCGCACCGGTCGAAAAGCGCACCGGTCGAAAAGCGCACCGGTCGAAAAGGGCACGGTCGAAAACGGGCACCGGTCGAAAAGCGCACCCGTCGAAAAGCGCACCGGTCGAAAAGCGCACCGGTCGAAAAGGGCACCGGTCGAAAAGCGCACCGGTCGAAAAGCGCACCGGTCGAAAAGCGCACCGGTCGAAAAGCGCACGGTCGAAAAGCCACCGTCGAAAACACCGGTCGAAAAGCGCACCGGTCGAAAAGGGCACCGGTCGAAAAGCGCACCGGTCGAAAAGGGCACCGGTTCAAAAGGGCACCGGTCGAAAACCGCACCGGTCGAAAAGCGCACCGGTCGAAAAGGGCACCGGTCGAAATGGGCACCGGTCGAAAAGGGCACCGGTCGAAAAGCGCACCGGTCGAAAAGCGCACCGGTCGAAAAGAGCACCGGTCGAAAAGCGCACCCGTCGAAAAGCGCACCCGTCGAAAAGCGCACCGGTCGAAATGCGCACCGGTCGAAAAGGGCACCGGTTGAAAAGGGCACCGGTCGAAAAGCGCACCGGTCGAAAAGCGCACCGGTCGAAATGCGCACCGGTCGAAAAGGGCACCAGTCGAAAAGCGCACCGGTCGAAAAGGGCACCGGTCGAAAAGCGCACCGGTCGAAAAGCGCACCGGTCGAAATGCGCACCGGTCGAAAAGGGCACCAGTCGAAAAGCGCACCGGTCGAAAAGGGCACCGGTCGAAAAGCGCACCGGTCGAAATGCGCACCGGTCGAAAAGGGCACCGGTCGAAAAGCGCACCGGTCGAAAAGAGCACCGGTCGAAAAGCGCACCGGTCGAAAAGCGCACCCGTCGAAAAGCGCACCCGTCGAAAAGCGCACCCGTCGAAATGCGCACCGGTCGAAAAGGGCACCGGTCGAAAAGGGCACCGGTCGAAAAGCGCACGGGTCGAAAAGCGCACCGGTCGAAATGCGCACCGGTCGAAAAGGGCACCGGTCGAAAAGCGCACCGGTCGAAAAGGGCACCGGTCGAAAAGCGCACCGGTCGAAATGCGCACCGGTCGAAAAGGGCACCGGTCGAAAAGCGCACCGGTCGAAAAGCGCACCGGTCGAAAAGGGCACCGGTCGAAAAGGGCACCGGTCGAAAAAGCGCACCCGTCGAAAAGCGCACCCGTCGAAAAGCGCACCGGTCGAAAAGCGCACCGGTCGAAAAGGGCACCGGTCGAAAAGCGCACCGGTCGAAAAGAGCACCGGTCGAAAAGCGCACCGGTCGAAAAGCGCACCCGTCGAAAAGCGCACCCGTCGAAAAGCGCACCGGTCGAAATGCGCACCGGTCGAAAAGGGCACCGGTCGAAAAGGGCACCGGTCGAAAAGCGCACCGGTCGAAAAGCGCACCGGTCGGAATGCGCACCGGTCGAAAAGGGCACCGGTCGAAAAGCGCACCGGTCGAAAAGGGCACCGGTCGAAAAGCGCACCGGTCGAAATGCGCACCGGTCGAAAAGGGCACCGGTCGAAAAGCGCACCGGTCGAAAAGCGCACCGGTCGAAAAGGGCACCGGTCGAAAAGGGCACCGGTCGAAAAAGCGCACCCGTCGAAAAGCGCACCCGTCGAAAAGCGCACCGGTCGAAAAGCGCACCGGTCGAAAAGCGCACCGGTCGAAAAGCTCACCGGTCGAAAAGAGCACCGGTCGAAAAGCGCACCGGTCGAAAAGCGCACCGGTCGAAAAGAGCACCGGTCGAAAAGCGCACCGGTCGAAAAGCGCACCGGTCGAAAAGAGCACCGGTCGAAAAGCGCACCGGTCGAAAAGCGCACTGGTCGAAAAGCGCACCGGTCGAAAAGGGCACCGGTCGAAAAGGGCACCGGTCGAAAAGCGCACCGGTCGAAATGCGCACCGGTTGAAAAGGGCATTGGTCGAAAAGCGCACCGGTCGAAAAGCGCACCGGTCGAAAAGCGCACCCGTCGAAAAGAGCACCGGTTGAAAAGCGCACCGGTCGAAAAGCGCACCGGTCGAAATGCGCACCGGTTGAAAATGGCACCGGTCGAAAAGCACACCGGTCGAAAAGCGCACCGGTCGAAAAGCTCACCGGTCGAAAAGAGCACCGGTCGAAAAGCTCACCGGTCGAAAAGAGCACCGGTCAAAAAGCGCACCGGTCGAAAAGCGCACCGGTCGAAATGCGCACTGGTCGAAATGCGCACTGGTCGAAACGGGCACCGGTAGAAAAGCGCACCGGTCGAAAAGCACATTGGTCGAAAAGCGCACGGGTCGAAAAGCGCACCGGTCGAAAAGGGCGACAAAGGTAGGAAAGGCATGTGCTTTTATGGGAAAATGCTCACGAAACTCGTACTTGGGGCAAAAGTTGAAACGCCGTCGCTCCCAAACCATTTGGATCTTGGACCCGAGGTTCAAGCTGCATGTTCTAGAGACCATGCACTAGCTAGCCATGCAGAAAAAAATGGCATACAGCTTGGTGGAAAAGCGCGACAAAGGTAGGAAAGGCATGTGCTTTTATGGGAAAATGCTCACGAAACTCGTACTTGGGGCAAAAGTTGAAACGCCGTCGCTCCCAAACCATTTGGATCTTGGACCCGAGGTTCAAGCTGCATGCTCTAGAGACCATGCACTAACTAGCCATACAAAAACAAATGGCATACATTTTGGTGGAAAAGCGCAACAAAGGTAGGAAAGGCATGTGCTTTTATGGGAAAATGCTCACGAAACTCGTACTTGGGGCAAAAGTTGAAACGCCGTCGCTCCCAAACCATTTGGATCTTGGACCCGAGGTTCAAGCTGCATGTTCTAGAGACCATGCACTAGCTAGCCATGCAGAAAAAAATGGCATACAGCTTGGTGGAAAAGCGCGACAAAGGTAGGAAAGGCATGTGCTTTTATGGGAAAATGCTCACGAAACTTGTACTTGGGGCAAAAGTTGAAACGCCGTCGCTCCCAAACCATTTGGATCTTGGACCCGAGGTTCAAGCTGCATGCTCTAGAGACCATGCAATAACTAGCCATGCAAAAAAAAATGGCATACTGCTTAGTGGAAAAGTGCGACAAAGGTAGGAAAGGCATGTGCTTTTATGGGAAAATGCTCACGAAACTCGTACTTGGGGCAAAAGTTGAAACGCCGTCGCTCCCAAACCATTTGGATCTTGGACCCGAGGTTCAAGCTGCATGTTCTAGAGACCATGCACTAGCTAGCCATGCAGAAAAAAATGGCATACAGCTTGGTGGAAAAGCGCGACAAAGGTAGGAAAGGCATGTGCTTTTATGGGAAAATGCTCACGAAACTCGTACTTGGGGCAAATGTTGAAACGCCGTCGCTCCCAAACCATTTGGATCTTGGACCCGAGGTTCAAGCTGCATGCTCTAGAGACCATGCACTAACTAGCCATGCAAAAAAATATGGCATACTGCTTGGTGGAAAAGTGCGACAAAGGTAGGAAAGGCATGTGCTTTTATGGGAAAATGCTCACGAAACTCGTACTTGGGGCAAAAGTTGAAACGCCGTCGCTCCCAAACCATTTGGATCTTGGACCCGAGGTTCAAGCTGCATGTTCTAGAGACCATGCACTAGCTAGCCATGCAGAAAAAAATGGCATACAGCTTGGTGGAAAAGCGCGACAAAGGTAGGAAAGGCATGTGCTTTTATGGGAAAATGCTCACGAAACTCGTACTTGGGGCAAAAGTTGAAACGCCGTCGCTCCCAAACCATTTGGATCTTGGACCCGAGGTTCAAGCTGCATGCTCTAGAGACCATGCACTAACTAGCCATACAAAAACAAATGGCATACATTTTGGTGGAAAAGCGCAACAAAGGTAGGAAAGGCATGTGCTTTTATGGGAAAATGCTCACGAAACTCGTACTTGGGGCAAAAGTTGAAACGCCGTCGCTCCCAAACCATTTGGATCTTGGACCCGAGGTTCAAGCTGCATGTTCTAGAGACCATGCACTAGCTAGCCATGCAGAAAAAAATGGCATACAGCTTGGTGGAAAAGCGCGACAAAGGTAGGAAAGGCATGTGCTTTTATGGGAAAATGCTCATGAAACTTGTACTTGGGGCAAAAGTTGAAACGCCGTCGCTCCCAAACCATTTGGATCTTGGACCCGAGGTTCAAGCTGCATGCTCTAGAGACCATGCAATAACTAGCCATGCAAAAAAAAATGGCATACTGCTTGGTGGAAAAGTGCGACAAAGGTAGGAAAGGCATGTGCTTTTATGGGAAAATGCTCACGAAACTCGTACTTGGGGCAAAAGTTGAAACGCCGTCGCTCCCAAACCATTTGGATCTTGGACCCGAGGTTCAAGCTGCATGTTCTAGAGACCATGCACTAGCTAGCCATGCAAAAAAAAATGGCATACAGCTTGGTGGAAAAGCGCGACAAAGGTAGGAAAGGCATGTGCTTTTATGGGAAAATGCTCACGAAACTCGTACTTGGGGCAAAAGTTGAAACGCCGTCGCTCCCAAACCATTTGGATCTTGGACCCGAGGTTCAAGCTGCATGCTCTAGAGACCATGCACTAACTAGCCATGCAAAAAAATATGGCATACTGCTTGGTGGAAAAGCGCAACAAAGGTAGGAAAGGCATGTGCTTTTATGGAGAAATGCTCACGAAACTCGTACTTGGGGCAAAAGTTGAAACGCCGTCGCTCCCAAACCATTTGGATCTTGGACCCGAGGTTCAAGCTGCATGCTCTAGAGACCATGCAATAACTAGCCATGCAAAAAAAAATGGCATACTGCTTGGTGGAAAAGTGCGACAAAGGTAGGAAAGGCATGTGCTTTTATGGGAAAATGCTCACGAAACTCGTACTTGGGGCAAAAGTTGAAACGCCGTCGCTCCCAAACCATTTGGATCTTGGACCCGAGGTTCAAGCTGCATGTTCTAGAGACCATGCACTAGCTAGCCATGCAGAAAAAAATGGCATACAGCTTGGTGGAAAAGCGCGACAAAGGTAGGAAAGGCATGTGCTTTTATGGGAAAATGCTCACGAAACTCGTACTTGGGGCAAAAGTTGAAACGCCGTCGCTCCCAAACCATTTGGATCTTGGACCCGAGGTTCAAGCTGCATGTTCTAGAGACCATGCACTAGCTAGCCATGCAGAAAAAAATGGCATACAGCTTGGTGGAAAAGCGCGACAAAGGTAGGAAAGGCATGTGCTTTTATGGGAAAATGCTCACGAAACTCGTACTTGGGGCAAAAGTTGAAACGCCGTCGCTCCCAAACCATTTGGATCTTGGACCCGAGGTTCAAGCTGCATGCTCTAGAGACCATGCACTAACTAGCCATGCAAAAAAATATGGCATACTGCTTGGTGGAAAAGTGCGACAAAGGTAGGAAAGGCATGTGCTTTTATGGGAAAATGCTCACGAAACTCGTACTTGGGGCAAAAGTTGAAACGCCGTCGCTCCCAAACCATTTGGATCTTGGACCCGAGGTTCAAGCTGCATGTTCTAGAGACCATGCACTAGCTAGCCATGCAGAAAAAAATGGCATACAGCTTGGTGGAAAAGCGCGACAAAGGTAGGAAAGGCATGTGCTTTTATGGGAAAATGCTCACGAAACTCGTACTTGGGGCAAAAGTTGAAACGCCGTCGCTCCCAAACCATTTGGATCTTGGACCCGAGGTTCAAGCTGCATGCTCTAGAGACCATGCACTAACTAGCCATGCAAAAAAAATGGCATACATGCTTGGTGGAAAAGCGCGACAAAGGTAGGAAAGGCATGTGCTTTTATGGGAAAATGCTCACGAAACTCGTACTTGGGGCAAAAGTTGAAACGCCGTCGCTCCCAAACCATTTGGATCTTGGACCCGAGGTTCAAGCTGCATGTTCTAGAGACCATGCACTAGCTAGCCATGCAGAAAAAAATGGCATACAGCTTGGTGGAAAAGCGCGACAAAGGTAGGAAAGGCATGTGCTTTTATGGGAAAATGCTCACGAAACTCGTACTTGGGGCAAAAGTTGAAACGCCGTCGCTCCCAAACCATTTGGATCTTGGACCCGAGGTTCAAGCTGCATGCTCTAGAGACCATGCACTAACTAGCCATGCAAAAAAAAATGGCATACTGCTTGGTGGAAAAGTGCGACAAAGGTAGGAAAGGCATGTGCTTTTATGGGAAAATGCTCACGAAACTCGTACTTGGGGCAAAAGTTGAAACGCCGTCGCTCCCAAACCATTTGGATCTTGGACCCGAGGTTCAAGCTGCATGTTCTAGAGACCATGCACTAGCTAGCCATGCAAAAAAAATGGCATACAGCTTGGTGGAAAAGCGCGACAAAGGTAGGAAAGGCATGTGCTTTTATGGGAAAATGCTCACGAAACTCGTACTTGGGGCAAAAGTTGAAACGCCGTCGCTCCCAAACCATTTGGATCTTGGACCCGAGGTTCAAGCTGCATGCTCTAGAGACCATGCACTAACTAGCCATGCAAAAAAATATGGCATACTGCTTGGTGGAAAAGCGCGACAAAGGTAGGAAAGGCATGTGCTTTTATGGGAAAATGCTCACGAAACTCGTACTTGGGGCAAAAGTTGAAACGCCGTCGCTCCCAAACCATTTGGATCTTGGACCCGAGGTTCAAGCTGCATGCTCTAGAGACCATGCACTAACTAGCCATGCAAAAAAAAATGGCATACTGCTTGGTGGAAAAGTGCGACAAAGGTAGGAAAGGCATGTGCTTTTATGGGAAAATGCTCACGAAACTCGTACTTGGGGCAAAAGTTGAAACGCCGTCGCTCCCAAACCATTTGGATCTTGGACCCGAGGTTCAAGCTGCATGTTCTAGAGACCATGCACTAGCTAGCCATGCAGAAAAAAATGGCATACAGCTTGGTGGAAAAGCGCGACAAAGGTAGGAAAGGCATGTGCTTTTATGGGAAAATGCTCACGAAACTCGTACTTGGGGCAAAAGTTGAAACGCCGTCGCTCCCAAACCATTTGGATCTTGGACCCGAGGTTCAAGCTGCATGCTCTAGAGACCATGCACTAACTAGCCATGCAAAAAAAAATGGCATACTGCTTGGTGGAAAAGTGCGACAAAGGTAGGAAAGGCATGTGCTTTTATGGGAAAATGCTCACGAAACTCGTACTTGGGGCAAAAGTTGAAACGCCGTCGCTCCCAAACCATTTGGATCTTGGACCCGAGGTTCAAGCTGCATGTTCTAGAGACCATGCACTAGCTAGCCATGCAGAAAAAAATGGCATACAGCTTGGTGGAAAAGCGCGACAAAGGTAGGAAAGGCATGTGCTTTTATGGGAAAATGCTCACGAAACTCGTACTTGGGGCAAAAGTTGAAACGCCGTCGCTCCCAAACCATTTGGATCTTGGACCCGAGGTTCAAGCTGCATGCTCTAGAGACCATGCACTAACTAGCCATGCAAAAAAAATGGCATACAGCTTGGTGGAAAAGCGCGACAAAGGTAGGAAAGGCATGTGCTTTTATGGGAAAATGCTCACGAAACTCGTACTTGGGGCAAAAGTTGAAACGCCGTCGCTCCCAAACCATTTGGATCTTGGACCCGAGGTTCAAGCTGCATGCTCTAGAGACCATGCACTAACTAGCCATGCAAAAAAAAATGGCATACAGCTTGGTGGAAAAGTGCGACAAAGGTAGGAAAGGCATGTGCTTTTATGGGAAAATGCTCACGAAACTCGTACTTGGGGCAAAAGTTGAAACGCCGTCGCTCCCAAACCATTTGGATCTTGGACCCGAGGTTC